AGTATAATGTTTGTAACGGTAACGCTTACACTGTCCAGAGCTGAGGCTATCATTTCCTCTTCGCTGTGAGATTGCAGCTGGACCACCATCACACCACTGTCAAACACACGCAGCCTACAAACAGGGCAAGACAGATGAGGGAAACTGTGTGTGTGTGTGTGTGTGTGTCCGGTCAATACGTTTATGCTGAAGAGATCTTTTATTAAGCTATAATAGGGAGGTGGCTAAAGAACAGCAACCAGTTTGAGCGTACTAGGACCAGCGTGGTACAGAAACAGGTCCGTGTTTCTTTTTGAAACCCTGGGAAGTGACAGGAAATGACAGTCGCAGAGGGCTGGAAACGACTTCCAACAACAGGAAGCTGGGCAGGAAGAGCCTGGCCTCTGTGAAGCAGGCGCCAACCCTGCCCTATATATTCCTTTAATAAACACATAGCATGGCCTATACACAAACGAATGTATGAAAGCACGCACAGAAACAGCAAACAACAGAATTCAAAGACAAACAAAACTCAAACTCACCTCAACGGGAGCTTCAACGACTCAAACATCTTGCATGCGTTTACCAAATCTTCTGGAGATAAGAGCTGTGGAAAAATAGGAACTTTAGTATGCGACGGGCTACCAATGACATTTGTCGGTGCCATGAACATGACGTGCACACTTCTGTGAGCATTACCTCCATCCCTCTAGCACGGTTGACGAGACAGTACACCTCAGTCAGAGCCATCATACCCCCACGCTCCTTAGAGAGTAGGGAAGGATAAGAGAAACAGAGTCAATAAGAGATTAAAATGGAAAAATTAGAGCCAGTTAATGGTGATTTCTCTATTTTTATTATTTATCTATGTTTGTATTTCTACATAGTCCTTTATTTATTTATATATTTCTTCATTTAATTATTTACATATGTATTTCTGTATTTCCATATTTATTCATGTTTGTATTTTTGTGTCTGAATGTTGATTGTGTGGGTGGTCCCAACATCAGTCTGAAGCAGGATTGGTCAGGAAGAGACTAGTGACTTTAAAAAAAAACACGACACGCAAAAAGCCAAACCTACCTCTAGAGGGGCCTGTAGCATATCTCCCAGTTGCTTAGCCAGCTGCAGATGGTAATGTGTACCTGATCCATGCGTTTCCCTGGTAACAGGGTTGGCAATACCCATGCTTAGTAGGTAGGATTTAAACCGGATGGTCTATAAAGCAGAACATAACTTTAATAAAAAACAAACTACTTAAAAACCAAATTGCATGGTGTAACAGCTGCATGTACAGCAATTTGAAACTACATCTTCCTGTTTCTGTTTGCTGGTCAAGTTCTTACCTCATCTTCTGTTATGTCTCCCTGTTTGTCTTTGATCTTGTTGGCTATGGATCTGGACAGCTCCACCATCTCTTTAGCCTGTTAGATTAGACAATGAGTGTAACACAGGCATGGTATCCATGGTTATGATGTTTAAACAATCATACAGTATAATTGTCAATAGATAAAATACTTCAATGTGAAAAAGTTCAGCGTGAACATACAAAGGGGAGCATTCTTTACCTTCACCATCAGCTTACTGAGGTCCTCAAAGGCCTAAAAAAAAAGAGAATAAATAAGTAACACTGCTCAAAAATGTTCAGAATTAAATAAACCACAAAACTTCATGGCTACAGATATCATTTAAATATCATTCCACAGCACTCACACCCCTCCCCTGGCTGATGATACGAGACTTCCTAGCCCTAAAGCTCCATTTGTTTTGATGTCATACCTTCAAAAAATATATAATATAATATTTATATATATATATATATATATATATATATATATCTCATTTTTATTGATTTTACTTCATATTAAAGATGTACATAGAGTCTGTCCAACAGCGGTTGTATGAACGCAGTTAAGCGCTTCATGGTTGCCTAACGAGTGTCAAAGCAGCTGGTGGTCCAGCCTTGAATTCATGTTAACAATATATTCCGAATAGTGGAGTACATTTTTATGACAGGATAAAAACCCATCCAACGCATTTCCATGTAAAGAAAACACAAACCACACTTTAATCTCAGCACATTCAAATTTTTAAAATTATGTAATATATACCTATACATAAGCTATAATATACTTATTAACACTCACTCTCACAAGACTTTAGCAGGGGATTCGACCGAGTGGACAGTTCCTTTTATCACACCTGATAGTTCTTACCTTTATCTTACTTACATTAAAATAAATATTTATTATAAGATCTATAGAGTTACAACTGGCAATTCCAAGTTCTGAACACATTTCTCCAAGTATTCCCTCTTCTACAGTACTCTCAGGAAATGTTTTTTGTTTCTTTCCTCAATTCTCTTCAACTTTGCCTCTCCATGCAAACAAGTCCCACTGCACGAGTCCGCTTCCTGCCTACATGACCGACAAATAAAGAAAACATCACAAGCAGTTTAAAAAAGTTGGCTAAGGAAGCAGCTGAGGAACAAGAAAAGACAAACGAGCGTGGAACAAATTACCAGTCAGCTGCTGGAACATTACATAAACAGATTTTAGTGACTATGATTCATAATGTTTCAGAAAAAAACTAAAAGACTTAATGTAAGTTTCATTTGGAGACACATGAATGCAAGTGAAATACCAGAGTACAGTACGAGATAGTAGTAGTAAACATAACAAACTTTCTAACACAAAAGCATATTTTCAATTTAGCTGAAAGCCCTGTTGTGGGTACTACCTGATACTCCATAATATCAAATGAGGGGAGAACAGCAGCAAATAAATACATGCAACTGATGTTGCTTTTTAAAAAAGGCCTAAAAAGAAATCAATCAGAGCCAGAATTTCTGATTATTGTAACTGCCAAGTCCAAGAATATAAAGTGACAACACTTGCCATCCTGTGGAACATAATTTGAACTGACAGAACCCTAGAGATTCTTAGTTGGATGAGGGGAACATTTGTGCATGCTTCTCACCTGGAGAGCCAGTTCCTGTGGGATGGGTTGTGAACACTGGTGTATTCTCCCATCTCTTCGTGAGTCATTTTCCTCTTGTTAGCCTACTGTAAGAACTGCCAAGTAATGACAGACATATCAGAGTCCAGGATAAACAAAGAACATAACGCACAGTCTCTCTAAAGAAGGCCGATTATAGGCTGAACAATAAGTACAAAAACTTTCAACAACTACCTCAATCTGAACATGTTCTTGAAGACCCAGCTTGATGACGGAGCAAATTGCCGTGTTGGTAGGGCCTGGCTCCTTGTTTGCGGTGTTGGGTGCAGGTGATAACTATCATTTGCACTACAGGATGACAATAATGCATCGAAAAAACAATTTTAACATTGCCTTCTTAATAAGCTGTAATTATTTTTGTTATCAAGAGTTCATTCTTGAATGTGGAAATGAAGTTTGACAAACAACATTTTTTTTTACTCCAAACTCCATTTATTAGTTTTTTCTGAAGCTTTTAACCAAGGGTCTATAATATTCTTCCTAATTATCACCACCAGTTATCAAGCGACCAAAGTTCCACACTAAATTCACAGATGACAATTGACCAGGATCTGACATAGTAGTTAGCTAGTACATAACAAACTTTCTACACAAAAGCATATTTTCAATTAGTGCAAGTCCTGTTTGGGATACTAACCTGATTTGAGGAGGAAAGCAGCCAAATTAAAGTAACATGCATTCTGATGTTGCTTTTAAAAAGGCCCTATAAATAATCAGAGGGCAGAGAATTTCTGATTCTTGTAACCAAAGTCAAGTAATCATAGTGACCAACACTGCAATCCTGTGGGAACAATAATTTCATTGACCGAAGGTCATTCACATGTTCATCCACCCTAAAGTTCTACCTGCCCGTCCAAAAGTCACCACCTATCGATTTAACTAAACCAATAGGTAAGGCTTCCATTGGAAATTACTGCAGTCCACATATGTTTCGAGCTGCAACAATTATCTTAACCCTAGCTGATGCGGTGATTCTTCTCATTCTTAAACCACCATGTTGGAAGACCACATCCTTGTGTTGTGGAAAGGATGGTAATCAGTTTCAGAGGGTCAAATTATTGGCCTGCATCAAGCCAAAGAAAACAACTAAGGAAGCATTGCTGAAAATACTAAAATCGGGTCAAGAATGTCCAACCGCATTATTAAAACCTGGAAGATA